ACCTGGACAGGTGTTATGTTATAGTTTCATAGGTTATGGACTCCGTACATCACAGAATAGCACTGACCCATTTCCAGCATTTGTTTCTCAAGGGTACCCATGTCATACCAGCACTAAGATTCGTATCTTGTTTTCCATATGGCTTCGATGCATCTTACAAGCCATCTTCATAGATCAGCCAGACAAGTGTAATCTACAAGGAACTACCATAAAGTAACAATGCAAAACCATAATCAAACGAGTAGCTAGTGGTTCACAGGTAAACTGGTAAGATTATCAAGTAGGACTCTGGAGGAATCTGCCTGAAGTCAAACCAGAGAGTGAAAGAGGGCCAAGCACTTCTGAGACAGGATTAGAATTCAAAGTGATCTTGAAAAAATAAGAAATGCATGAAGGAGATCAACACACACAAAAAATTCCAAATTATTTAACCCAGTAGGGATTACTAGGTAAAATCTGCTGTACAAGTGCAAAAATGGGAAAATGATGCAGCCAGAAGTTCTGCAGAAAGGATCTCTAGTTATAGGGGATCATAAACTGAGTGCTTAGTGCTTGGTGCTGTCAGTAAATATGCTGATATGACAGGGCTGATTTCCATCTCAATTTTTTTCTTTGGAGGCACTCATGCTCAGTTGCTTAGTATTTCATCTCTAAGAGGCAGTTTATTTTGCATTATGTCTTATACATCTTATATTCATAGTCTCGTCTTTGCCCATCCACCATTAAACAAGCATTTCATTAACTGATTTTTTTTAAGGTATTATGCACCTTTTTCACTGCTCACATGAATTAACCTTCCCAGGTACATGCTTAAGATGCAAACTATACTGACACATAGCTTAAGAGTATTTTAGAAGATGCAATTTTTCTCTCTGATGGCTAATTTCAAATAGTGAATCTCTTGACTCCTACAAGGTTAAAAGCACAGTTTCAGGTAGTCAAGACTGTGGCTTTGTTGACTTGAGTTGTCTCTTCAAATTCAATCTCTGCCTGTCCCAAAGATTATCTTTGGAAGGCTACACTGGCTTTAGCAGTTTTGACAGCACATGTTCCCTGTTATACATATGTCAGCTCTCTAGCTACTGGGGAGCGAGTAGCTTTCAACAGTTAAGACCATCATTACAGTAGCAGTGAGATGTCCCTGCACTGCACAGCTAACCAGAGTGACTCAAACGTAACTTGTTTTCCTCCTCTTGAATTATCTTCTGATAGCACTGCGAATTAGATGGCTTGGCATATTTAAAACAGCGGAAGAAGTCTGCAGTGAAACAACTATTTTAGCATCCAGAACTACCCAAGACAAAACCATGGTATCTTCTCTGGATGTCAAAAGACTTCACCATTCCTCAACAGTCAAAACCCTCAAATTCCCCAGTGACCACACCTGTACAGCAACACAACTTTCCCAACATGCAAACACACAGGACACTGAATTTGCACAATGCTATACTGGATCAATGATCCCTGTTTTCATGTATACATGAACAACAAACTGCAAAAAGTCAATTTTTAACATTCAGCTGAAGTGCTGAAGTATTTCCAGTCTCTCCCAAAAGTTCAGCTACAGAATGCAGAGCCAACAAGGAACCTGAAGGAACTTTTTAGCAACTCAAACAGTTAGTACTGACTTTGAATCTGAAGGTATACTTGAAGAGAAAAAGATCCTGGATTTTAGTCTGACTACTGCTCCAACACATTTTATAATGAGTAGTATTATTTCCTAATAGGGTATTTAGTTTCAGGATTATGCTTATCTCCCTCACAGTTACTTATAGCTCCATCAGCCCTTATCGGTCTTCCCAGGTAGGAATTTAAAGGTTTGGGATCATGGCTGGGCATTGTTCATTTACATAAACAGTCTTTGCCTAGTTCAATCTTAAAAGCAAACCTCAGCGTTCTGCACTTGCCACTGAAAATTAAAACTGGCCCTAGTCAGTCAGCTGCTTCAAACTAGATTGCTAATAGTTTGACAAAGTTCAGTTTTTCTAGACTAGTTTCCATAATACTTAGCATTCAGGTGAATGCAAATTGTTATCATGATGGCTAACAAAATCAAAATGCTAGTTCAATACTTTATGCTGAATAAATCACAAAGTTTAACCTGTGTATGAATAAAGGTGCACTAGAAATGCTAAAAGATCATTTATAGCACACATGACCATTAATGTATACATCTAAGATGTAACTTACTCCTATTCTCAAGTTAAGAGAAGGCAACTTCTATCCACTATGATAGACAATATTTAAAAAGGAGTTTCCACAAAAGAGAATGGAGGAGAAGTCACTGAAAACAATTGTCAGTTACACAGCAAAACAAAAATCCCAAAGCCTTGAAACACTCTAAGCGTTCTTTGTTAAATCACTTGAGTGAACCCAATGTATGATACTCACAAAACAATAGACATACATAATTGGAAAAGCTCTGGTGACACGGGGTTTAGACACCTTTGCTAACGCAAAGGGAAGGCTTCATTGCTCATTTAAAGTTACTTACACAGTAAGTCTAGAACTATCCTGGATTTTTCTCAAGTTCATTCACTTAGCTGGGAGCCTGCAGATCAAACTGAACTTTAACTGTGTCACACCATGAGGCTCTCCTCCTGGAAGCACATCAAGGTTTTTGCATGAAATCTGATCATCAGCACAGTAGGATTAATGACAGAGGTGGTCAGGCTGATAAACTAGCAGAACAGAAACCTGCTTAAATGACGATAGAACTGCATCGAAAATAAGGCTGTAATGCATTCTCACCCCTTTCTGCCAAAACTGAAGCAAAATCTTGTTTGAAACTGATGTGAAAGAAAAGGCTTTAGCATTGTGTCCCTGCAGGAGGTCTGTGGTTGTTTCTGGGAAAACAGATACCAGACTACCATCGCTCTCTTAGAATAATGCCACTGATTGCTGACTGACACCACACGATGTCTAGTTCAGCTTCCTGAAAGGGGAATAGCAGAGGAAGGTTTTGAGTTATTTATGCACAGTAAGGTAAATCGAATATCAGGGATTTCTCTCAAACAGCGTAAGTTCTCAAACAGTTGGTTACCTCTGTATGCCACTACCTGACTAAACCAAGTGCTCTCTTAAAATAAGATATCAATTGCTACAAATGCTGGAAATTTACCTCTACTTTTAGCCACTTTTTCCCTCACACACACCTACTTTTGCTTCCTAATGATCAAGAATACTGTACCTTTCTGCTGGATATGCAAGCACCTTGCCTCAGGGCACTTCTCCATGATGTTCCACACCAATACATGGTAGAATATTATAGCTATTTCACCTAGTAAATTCATTCACAAAGTATGTAGCTCTGACTACATAACATTTTGAAGCCCAAACATAAGCACTTGATTGGCAGTACCACTATAGGATAAAGTCACAACCTAAGCACTGTAAAATCCAAGTATTAAAGAGTGCTGAATCCTGAATTAACAGAACAGCAAAAGACACAATGTCTAATCAGCAACAGTGAGATAAACCTAAGAAAAAATACTCAAAAACCATGAATGCTGAAATTCACACAAACAAACCAAGGTCTGTTATTCCCTAGTTACAGATGACCCAAGTCTACTGGTACCTTTATACACTTCACCGCAGCTTCACCATAAAAGCTGCACAGATTAGTTCAGTGGCACACAGAACTTCAAAAATTCATCCATTTCACGTTAAGAAATGTCTAGATACAAAGACAGTTGATACAAAATGCATTATATAAAGTTTTCCAAACAGGAAAATATGAAGAAAAAACAAACCAAAACCTTGTTTTCAATTGGTATACAAGTTGGCTTTATAAAGAGCTGACCTGTACCAAGTCTCCTACACACGCCAAATAAAATTCTTCTTATCTGCTTATCTGAAACAACTAAAAACATGTGTTAGTGGAAATAAAATTTCATCTATCTAGCTAAACAGAAAAACTTCTGTGCAGTGACTTGCGTTTATAGCAGAGTAGAGGTATATATGGAGATGTGAATGTGTGTGGGTATTAAAGCAACACAAAAATAAAAATTATTTTCTAATTCACTTACCTATTCATAGCAATAAAGCTGGATAAGAGGTTTTTTGGTTTAAGTTCTTAAAGAAAAGACCACATGAAGTGTCATGGAATGGACATAATATATTGTGAGATAAAGTTTTCTGGTATTTCACTAGAATGGAAATAATTTGGAGGGTGACTTCGTTTAAAGTCAGGAACTAGGACAAGGAAACAAATCACTTTTGCAGTGTCTGAAAACCTGGAAGCCAACTCAATGTTCTATTCCTCTACAATAAACCTTACTAAAACAGTCAGAACAGCAGAAGTATCACCAGCACTATAAAACTGGGGTTGCCTGTATGGTTTCACAAATAGCCTTACAAAGATCTTACCCACTTCCCAAATTCATAGCAGCAAATCACCGACAACATCAGATATTCTCATTCATACTGTTTACTTCAAATCAATCTCTGATTATTTGAGCTAGCAGCATGGCATAACAAGTAACAAAGGACACAGAGAAGAGCAGCTAATTGTATTGTAACTTCAACACAGTAATGTTGTGGCCTCAAATTCAGTAATCACATGTAGATCTCCTAACATATGAATCTAGTGTTGAGAGGCAAAGACCACCAAAGGAATGAGTACAACACCACAAAACTAATAATTTAGCTAAATTAAAAGACATTCACACTTACATATGAGAGAAGCAATAGCCATTGGTGTTTAACACACAACATGAATGCAAAAATACATGGCAGACATCAAAAGATAAACTAATATTTTTTTTTTAGCTTTTACTGTTTCTCCCAAACAGCCTCTGCAACTCCCCATGTAAATTACAAGTGGTAAAATACAGCTGGAAGAGTGACAGAAGAAATCACCAGTCACTTATCCTGAGTAAAGCAAATACAAGAACTAACAGTTGACTTCAGTGAAAAGTATTTCTGCTGATACTCTTGTACATTCTCAGCACCAAACATGAAGCAATCAACATGACGAGACGAAAGGACTAAACACGCACCTTGAACACTTCAGAGAAGAAACCAGAGCCAATTTTCTCACGTGTGAAGTCATCAAGACGGGTAAGTCTGGAAAAGGCACTTATCAGGGCTCTGTATGAAGAGGTACAAACTCTTCCTATCTGGGATGCAGTCCCTTCTCCTCCAGTGCCACCATCAAAGTCTTCAGCGCGCTCCAAGCGTGGTGGAAATCCTGCTATTGAATTCCGCTTACTTCGGTCCATTTTGAAAACAAGGTTTTAGTTCATTCAAGTGGGACTTCTCACATCTTAGGTAATTTGCTGTCTTCTCTACTCTTGTTGGATCCTAAAATACAAGAAACTGAGATTATCATTATTGTAAACATATCTAATAAGTTTCATATGACTCCAACACAGCTTACACCAATTTAAGGGAGTAAGAAAAAAAAAAAGAAAAAAGCAGAAGACAACCAAGTAGGGGCATGAAAAAACAAAGAGGGAAAAAAAACCCACCACAACCAACCACACAGGATCGTCAGTAAAGACAGACAACGTAATGAACCTCTCCTTTAGATCCACGGAAATACCCTACGCTCCACCTATTATGAGATCACAGAATCACAGAATCACAGAATGTTCCGGGTTGGAAGGGACCTCTGTGG